AATTAAATCATATAATAAATAAATACATTCTTGCATAGTAACTATGCGATTTGTTGATATATTCATATCTTAAATCAAATTTTAAATTAAACGAAATAAAAATTTACTCGATGATATCAAGCCAACACAATAAATCAACTCACGGTCTAATAAACTGAGTCAAGACCCTATCAAATCTACTTCATGTAGCAAATGACCTGCCAGTAACTTATGAGAAATGCAGAGGGATAGCAATTAAACGACGTCTCACGCACTCAAAACTAACTGCAGGTGGTGCAAATGACATGTCCCTTGCTTTGTGGCACCAGCCCCCTTCACCACCCTTAATTCTCTTCCTCTTTCACTGTTTCAGATTGAACTTTGCTAAGGTTCCAATTCCAATGTGCAATACTGTGAAAAATTTTAAAGATTATTTATATAACTAAATTTTTCCATAAACATATATGGTTTTTTTATTTAAGATTTTCATATTTATAAGTTTAGTGTATATATTATATAATAAGTATCTACATATTAATTTTAAATATTTTTTATAATTTAATTTATAAGAACAATTATTTTATTTTTTAAAGGAAAGAATATAATATGCGTAAGTCTTAATAGCTCTAATTAATATCCAATTTTAATAAAATATTAACGAGGAAACATTTAGAAACATTGCTTTGTTGAAATAATTTTTTTTAATTATAATAATTTTATAATTTTATTAGCAAAACATTTTTGTTTTAAAGACTTTATTTTTATTCAAGATTTATTAATCAAATATTTAATTTATAATTAAATATTTAATAAATATTATAGATAAATATTAAAAATAAATATGTATAGATGAACAAAGTAAATTCAACAATTAACGATATTTATTAAAAATAAATATATTTAGATGAACAAAGTAAATTCAACAATTAACCTCCAATTAGCTATAGAATATATAAATTAACACTAGATGCAATGTTCTTTTGGTCATTGAGTGTAGAAAAATGAGAAATTTCTCTAGTAGCAATAATGCAAAGGAAACTTGGTAGTCAAAGGAAAGCATCAAGAGAAGGCATTGAAACTGGCTTAGCATGTGGAAATAAAACCCACAAATGGTCTCGAATTTGTGAAAAGTTGGTCATGGAAATTGTTAAGGGGGGTGACAAGAAAGTTCAAAGCAATTGCAAAGTTTAACTGCAAAAGACTTTCACATTCACATTGGTGTTGACATCATATATTACTTTATTACCCTTACCTTTTGCTTTATTAAAAAAATTAAATTTCTAACACCAATTAAATATAAAAACGCATTAATTATTTATGTCTTTTTTATATGAAAATAGTAAAAAAAAACTATGAAAAAATCTTATATATATATATATATATATCACTTTTATCAAAAATGTTTTGATTTAGTCATTATAGCATAAAATATATATACTTTATTGAATCATATTTATTCTCAATACCATAGTTATCAAATCTTTAAATAAGATTTAAAACTCCTTTTGAATATCATTACATCTTGCATAAGGATTTACAATCAATATTATTTAAAAATATATTACTCAAATACCTTTATGCAATTCATGTTATACCAAAAATATGTCTGTTTGTTATACTTGATTAGAACAACATGTAATAAGATTAAAGTATAACATTTCTCATATAAGATAACTCGGTGATATCAAGTCTAAAAATCACTTGTACAACTGTCACGTAAATCTTTTCATAAACACATGTGATATTTTTATATGAAATTCTCATACAAATCAGTTTAATATACATGTTATCTAATAAGCAACACATATTAGTTCTAAGCACCTCTCATATCCTAATTTATGAGATTAATTATTTCCTTTTATAAAAGGAAGAATATAATATATATATATAAGTCTTAATAATTTTAATTAATATTCAATCTTAATAGAGCATTAATAAGAAATAGTTAGGAATAATATTTTAATGCAATATAAATATCATAATTATAACGACTTTATAATTTTATTTGTAAAATATTTTTATTCCAAAAATTTTATATTTGCTCTAGATTTATTAATAAAATATTTAATAAATATTATAGATAAATAAAACTTATATTAAGAATAAATATATTTCCATGTATAAATATAGATACAATATTTAGTCAATCAATTAGCTATATCAAATACAAGCATTAACAATGTTCTCTCTAATCATTGAGCGTGGAAAAATGAGAAATTTCCCGATTAGCAATAATGCGAAGGACACTTGATTGTCAAAAGAAAACATCAGAAAAGAGCATCGAACCTGACTTTATGATCATGGAAATTGTTAATGGAGTGCGAAGAAAGTTCAAAGCAATTGCATAGAGTAGAATTTTGCCTATTCTTGTAATGTTTAACCGCAAAAGGTTTTCACGTTGACGACAGTGACATTATATATTACTTTATTACCCTTATCTTTTGCTTTATTAAAAAAATTAAATTTCTAACACTAATTAAATATAAAAACATATAATATTAATATTTTACATTATTAAAAAATAAATTGAGAAACATGCAGGAGATTGCGAATCATCCGAGGTTACCCTAAAATAACATTACAAAGTAACGATACACTCTGCAACTCAAATGAAATCTCCTTACATACATTATTATCATCGTCATCATCCTATCATCATCCTTAAAGAGAGAGATATCTCAGACTCACACTCATCAATAGAAGGGAACTTGATTGGATGTGATCTATTAAACTATTGTTAGATGTTCTGAATCTATTAAAAAAGAAGAAGAGAAAATCAATATTGTTTTGAAGTTTTTATTTAAAAAATAAAAATTAATAAGATTTAATTAAATGAATCACAGATTAATCAAATTAAATCAAACTAACTCTAAATTTATTATTTTTTAATCAAATCAAATCAAATTAACTCTAAATTAATTATTTTTTGAGGCATGGCCGCCACCAATCCAATTTCAGAGCTTTTGTACACTATATAATCAATTTTCTATAAAATGGCCACGTATAACCTCTAAAAAATTTAATTAACACAATCTAATAGACGTGTATTAAGAAAAAAGCATAAAAAAGGTTAAATAGAAAATTAATTCTTTAATTGATACTATTATTGAAAATCATAGATTATTTGACTAAGCCTATACTAATGACATCCTTTAAAGCTAAAATCACTTGAGTTGTTTCTTTTTGTTTTTCAATACCCATAAAGTGAAGCCGTAAAAGAATGACACATAAATTGAATCGTTTTGTTTTATATAAATTATTCTAATAAAATGTAAAATATATATGAAATTTTGAAAAAAAAAAATAAGGATGTTATGTTATAAAATCTATAATTATATATATTAAATTTCTATTAGAATTTTTTAGACTTTATGACTCTTGAATTTAGTCTTTTAATTTTTCATTATTCTTGGGTTTCCTAATGTTCTTTAATATTTTTATTTTTTTTTCTTATAAATGAACTACTTGTCTTATATTCTAAAAATAGAAAAAAAATATAAAAACCAATATAAATTTCTCTTTTAAATTTTATTATGAATAAATATGTTTTTATTTCTCTCTTTTTTTTTTAACATGTACATGTTTATTGAAAATAACTTTTATTGATAGATGAAGGGTGATAAAATTGAGGCCCGGAAAAAAGATTATCTAATAGAAATAAAATATTTTATCCTAATGAGTTTTGGATCAAACTTCACCAACCAATAATATCAATTAAGATTCTAACAAGCACCAAGGCTTGTAGCCGAGCGGTCTTGGTAGAGTTTCTCTACCTATGCATCCTAGGTTCAAGCCTCAGCATGCATGTCTGTCACCCCCGCGGTGTCTTACTTGCCTACTGGGCTTGCAGGATGTTCAGTAGATCTGAGAATTAGTCGTAGTGCTCATAAACTAACCCGGACACCTCGGATTATTAAAAAAAAAATTAAGATTCTAACAACTTTTTTAATAGAGAAGGGTGCTCTTATTTTAAAATCTGACTCAATGGATTGGATTGACTTGAAATCTAGACCAAGCTAAGTTTCAACAAAATTAAAAAAATTAATCTAGTGTAACCTAGTAAAAAATCTAGTTCACTCACAACCCAATTAACTTGAAAAATCTCTCTCAAACCTGTTAATTTTTTTTAAATCTATTTTTAAAATTAATGTCATTTTTATTTTCTTATAAAAAAATTAAATTAACCTTGATAAACACACCTAACTCTTGTAAAAAGGTTGAAGAGATAATGACAATATCATTTTCATAAATGAAAAGTTAAGATTGGATCTATCTAATAACTTAATAGTTGCCCTAGACTTTTTGTAGATGAATGACCTAATTGTAACCTCAATGATAGTTAAAGAGTGTATGTGTAGTTTGGCCAAACATTTGGCATCCCTATCCATCTTAACTTACCATGAGGACTAATCCCATCCTAACACCTCTCTTTCAATGAATATTTGCTGTCCTCATCATGTAAGCATCTGCCTTTAATCGGCAAGCTAGCCCATCACGTTCTCATATTAGTGATCAGAGTCGATTTAACGTAAATAGGATATCAAGCAAAATTATAAATGAAAAAATTTAAAAAAATTTATTATTATTATTTTTTATATATGCCTGATCATAGGACCTTAAATAATTTTTATAAAGACCTTAAATAATTTTTATTTTATATGTAAGGTTTTGGTTAAATGGAAACAACATTCATTTTATAAAGTACAATTAAAAAAAAAATTATTTTGTTGGGATTTTTTTGTCTAATGAGATCTTGGGTTATTGCTCAAGTGGCGCTCAATTTAAGTCATTTTTATTAGCAAGATGTTTAGAGTACAGTTATTTTTTAAAATATATTTTTATTTGAAATTATATTAAAATAAAATTTTTATTTTTATTTTTTAAAATATTATTTTTTATTATAGCATATCAAAATAATATAAAAATATATATAAAAAATTCATTTCAAATAAAAAGATATTTTAAACAAATGAAACCGGTTGCCGTACCGCCCCAAAAAAATAGACCATCACGATAGCTTCCATGACTCGTATATAAATTCGACTTCAATGGCTCATATGTCTCACCAATCACAAACAATTAGCCCTCTCCGAATCTTTGCAACCATCACCATGTTTTCTCCAACGAACATGCCTCGATCAGTATCCACATTATTCTCTGCTTATGCCACTTTTGCAGGATCACTCATGCTTATCCGTTCCATGGAAAACGAACTAATCCCTTATGAGCTTCGCTCTTATTTATCCACTGCCATTCACTACCTCTTCACTCCTCTCTCCCCTAACATCACCCTTGTCATTGATGAGCATTGTGGCCTGTCTCGAAACCAAGTTTATGATGCAGCAGAAATCTATCTCAAAACCAAAATTAGCCCATCAACAGAGAGACTCAAAATCGGCAAGACACCAAGACAAAATACCTTCTCTGTCGCAATCGAAAAAGGTGAGGTAGTTCCAGATGTGTACGAGAATATCAAGTTGACGTGGGCTTATGTCTGTACAGAGCCACAAAAGAACAGTGACTACGAAGAAACAAGGCGTTTTGAATTGTCCTTTAACAAGAAGTACAAAGAGAAAGTTATGGATCGTTACTTGCCTCATGTTTTGAAGAGGAGTGAAGAGATAAAAGATAAGGAGAAGGTTGTTAAGCTTTATAATTGTAAGTCGGGGTCCATAAATCTTGAACATCCCTCTACTTTTGATACTTTAGCTTTGGATCCAGAGTTGAAGAAGATGATAGTTGATGATTTGAAGAGATTCTTGGGAAGAAAAGAATTTTATAAGAAAGTGGGCAAGGCTTGGAAACGTGGGTACCTGCTGTATGGACCACCTGGGACTGGAAAATCAAGCTTGATTGCTGCCATGGCTAACTATCTCAAGTTTGATATCTATGAGTTGGAGCTAACTAGTTTGTCTTCTAATTCCGATCTGAGGAGGGTTCTTCTGTCCACCACGAGTCGGTCAATCTTGGTGATTGAGGATATCGATTGTAGTGTGCAAACGCGGGATCGGCAACAAGGAGGGGATCAGTATGATGGTTCTAACTCCAGGGTGAGTAATCATTTCCCTTCAAGCTTAAAATTTCCTAATATTGTTTGTGCACAAAATGGCCTAATTTGTTAATTTGATTCTGTTCTTGTGTCATTCTTGCAGTTGACACTATCCGGATTGCTGAATTTCATTGACGGATTGTGGTCAAGTTGCGGTGATGAGCGAATCATTGTGTTCACTACCAATCATAAGGACAGGCTAGACCCTGCTCTGCTGCGTCCTGGTAGAATGGATGTGCATATTAACATGTCTTACTGCACACCTCAAGCATTCAGTATTCTGGCTTCTAATTACCTTGACATTCGCGACAAGAACCATTATCTCTATGACGAAATTGAAGGGCTAATGGAGAGTACTAACGTAACCCCAGCAGAGGTAGCAGAGGAACTCATGGCAAGTGAAAATGCCGATGTTGCCCTTGAAGGACTTGTTAACTTCCTTAAGCGGAAGCATAGTGAAGCTAATGAATTTAAGAGTGAAGAGAATGGAAAAGTTGAAGATGGAGAAGCAAAGATTCTGAACTGATGATGATAAAAAGAAGAGAAAATAGTTAATAAGTTCAGTAATCGGAATAGAATTCTTCGACCTGCGAGAGGCAATCGTGGGCGAAGAATGACTCCACCAAAAATGTTCGGTGTCTGAACCTTTTCTGTATGTTGAAAATTCTTCTTGTAAAAAGGTTCTGAAATCGATTAATTAGCCCCTTCGAAAATCTTCATCCTCTTAATTGCCCCTTTAAAAGAAAAAAAAATAATTCTTTAATTGATACTATTATTGAAAATCATAGATTATTTGACTAAGGCTATACTAATGACATCCTTTCAAGCTAAAATCACTTGAGTTGTTTCTTTTTGTTTTTCAATGCCCATGAAGTAAAGCAGCAAAAGAATGACACATAAATTGAATGGTTAAGTTCACAAATTCACAAATTATTTAAAGAAAATGTAAAATATACGTTAACGATAAAAAAAAATTATAAGTAATTACTATTATAAAATCTATAATTATATATATTAAATGTTGATTAGAATCTCTTAAATGACTTTTGGTTATAGACTTTTAATTTTACATGACATTTAGGTTTTCTAGTACTGTTTAATGTTTTTATTTTCTTCTCGTGAATAAACTACTTATATTGTATTCTAAAAATAATATATATAAAATAATTAACTAATCTTTATAGGGATTTCTATACTTGTGGTTTGTGGTTCGTGTCTCGATATAGGTGTAGGGTAAGGTAGTCTTCGTTGTAGTCTTGGTTCTTTAGAATAAAATTCCTACTGGGTAGAGCACAAATTCAAACCTGATCTTTGTTTTCTTGTGAGAAAATCAATTTGTTCGTAGATTTGCGGGTCCTTGTATCCATAGTGAGTAAAGTAAACTGGAAGTGTCAATTCCTGGTTCAAAAGACTTGTTATTTATTATTCATTTCTTTTATTGAGGAATGAACATATTCTCAGTTTGGTTTGTTTCTGCTTTCCTGTTTTATGCGATGGTTGCAATGTAGCTCTTTTTCATGCTTCTAGTTTGAATATGATAGTTACTGGTATAGGAAAAGAGGGTTTGCAGCCAATATTGTTGCCATTGTTTCTTTATGTTTTTTTTTTTATTTATGTGGGGTATCCGGGTCAGCTTGCGCGCACCACGACTAATCCCCACAGCCCACTGAATATCCTGCAAACCCATATCTTGCAAAACATATGTTTCTTTATGTTTGCATGTATGGGTTCTCAAAACATATGTTTCTTTATGTTTGCATGGGTTGTGGGTTGCAATTATAGTGTGGATGCTGATTAATGCAAGCGTTTCTGTTCGGTAAATTATCAGCCCCAGAGAGTATCTGTTTCATTGATTCTCAAGCTACTGAGATCTTATCCTTGTGGTGGAATTTCAATGTTGCCATTCATAGTAAATAGGATTTCAATCTTGCCCGCAGCTTTCTGTTACTGTTGCTAATGTCTTCACAAGTCTCGGGAATTGCTTGATTATGCTTTTGGCTGCCCGTACAATCATGATTTTCTCCCATTTCCCCTTCGCCGCTTCGCGTGTATTTGATAATGGATGAAAATATAATAAAATAATTTTTTTATATTTAATATCAGCATATTATATCATGATATTAAATATATAAGATTTTTTTTATCTCACTTATATCGCGAGTGATGAACTAATCGAATTAATTCAAGTTAGCTTATATTTATTTTTTTAATTTTTTATGAGTTTTTTTAATTTTATTATTTTATATTAGATTATTTGTCCTTGAGTTTTGTCATTTTTTACTTATCTTTTTGTTTGATTATTCAGAATGCGGGTTGAAAAAATTAACTCGAGTTAATTTAGGTGATTTTTTATATTTTTTATTAGACATGTGTTTTTTTGCTAGGTCTTTCTTTTGAATTTTTTTTTTGTATCTCGATCTTATATTACAGATTGTAGGTTCGTCAAATTAGCTCAAGTTGACTCAAGTTTTCTCTTCTTTGGTGTTATATTTTTTTTTTATCTTTAACATTAGGTTATTAGATTTTGAACTTTACAATTTATTTTTGTTTTTTTTTTCTGCGTGTTGTTTTAATCTCATATTTCAAGTCATGTTTTAATAAATTTAACCCGATTTATCCCAGATTATCGTTACCTGAATATAATTTTTTTAGTATTAAAAAGATTTTACACAGCCAATGGCATAGGACGAGTTACCTATCTAGTTTATGTCTAGTCACCAATATACTCCAACACTTCCACATTAATATGTCATTGATCCTTGTTAGCTATATTTGAAAGTGTTAATCATTAATTTCTTAATTTTAGCGATATGAGTAGTCTATTAGCTTTGTTATAATTCAAATTTTGACTCATTCGCTTTTAATTTAGTTTTAAAGAGAATAAAAATTAGATATAAAATCAGGAATTAATTTCAGTTGAAGGTTTGATTCATCTACTCGTACAAAATCAGGAATTATGGTGTGGTTTTGCCCTTTATCTCTTGATTTTCAGTTTGAAAAGGATCATCAGAATATTTTTAGTTCTTTTGATTTTTAAATCTTAAACAAGTTTTGAAAATAAGATAGAATTTGTATTTACTTGGGATTTCAAAACTTTTATATAATAAATATAACCATAAGCCACGTATAACAAGAGGCAAAAAAACACACAACAAAACCTAACCTCACAGTATTTTTTTCAACAACTATCTCATTGTCCCCATCTTCACCAATCTAGCTATATGCATTGATCTTCCTCTTTGCTACCAAAGCTTGACCTTTATTTTCTCCATCACACCTAATCTTCATAGTTTACATCCCCTTCTCTTTTCACTGCTAGTCCACCCAACCCAATCTGTACAACAACTTCCCCTCACTTCTCTCTTCCCTACGGTAGCATCACCCATAGCAACACTCATTGTTATTAAATCCAGATTGTTCTAACGGGTCGGCCCGACACCTAATTGAGGTAAGATAAAAAAATGACAGTGCAACAACCCGGCAAAACCCAATCAACCCATGACTCGGGCGACCTCGGTGAACCAGGATGAGACCAGATTTTTTTTTTTATCAAATGTGGTTTTTCTCCTATACCTCTCTTTTTTTATATTTTTTTATTTGGTTATTAAAATTTCTAAAGTTCACTATATGAATACTAGAAAAATATTTTATTTTTTCAATGTGAGATTTGAAACCCTTTAGTATATATACTTTATGTTCCCAAGAAAAAAATTATTTTTTCAATATGAGATTTGAAACTCTTTCATATATATACTCCATGTTTACATGAAAAAAATTAGCATTTTCGACGTGCAATAAATAACTTTTTAACTTAAATACTTCAACTTGAAAGGATAATATCAAATCTTTTCAATATGAGATTTAAAGGCCTTTCATATATATACTCTATGTTCACAAGAAAAAAATTATTTTTTCAATATAAGATTTAAAACCCTTTAATATATATACTTTATGTTTATAAGAAAGAAGTTATTTTTTTATTATATATATATAAGAAAAAAGTTGTGTTTTTTAAATGTGGGAAAAAAAATTTAGTTTAAATACTTTAACTTAAAAAAATAATATAGTATCTTTTTAACGTGGGATAATTTTTTTTAAAATATTCTTTTAAACTTCATTATTTATAACATATATAGCCTATATTCACATGAATTATTTCTCAAATTTTTCTCATATAAAATATTAAAATTTTAAATATGATTTTTTATTTTTCCAAGTTGACTCAAGTTGATCCATGAAATCTTAAACCCTGCTCCTTGACTGAATCAACTCTTGAGGTCGGGTTTGATGACTATAGCAACACTAACCTCCTTTTATCTCTTTACTAGCAATCACTACTCGTCGAATAAAAATTAAAAATAAAGAAAAGTGATAACCATAATCTCCTTCCAAAAGTAGCCCATCTCTAGCCACAAAGCCCAACACCATTGATTTCTTCTAGGGCTGAGTATTTTCAGTTTGGTTCGATTTTAGACCAAAATAAATAACTAAACCAAAATTTTTAAAAAAGTTTTTGAATTGAACCTAACCGAAAACCAGTTCAAACTGATTAATTTTGGTTTAGTTTGGTTCAGTTTTTTTCCTTTCAAACCAAAATTATAATGCTCAAGATAATTTCAAATTCAATCCACTCCTTCTCTAAGGAATGTTACAAGGCCTACCAATTGTTCTCTACGAAATGTTACAAGGCCTACCAATTGCAAACAAACACAAAGAAATTCCTAACATTATGTATGCACCCAAATCTCATCATATTGAGGTCACCAAAGATCAAATCAAATCCATGACTACTGGATTTAACCAAAAGTATTTTCAAAAGCAATTACCAAACATCGTCATAGGAAAAGAATTAAACAAAAGCATGATATGAGAGATGAACCTATGAAAACTATCAAGCACCACAAAGCCATAACATTTGGGCCAAGAACATGTAGATCTGAGAGATGAGAAACAGAGATAGAGCATGGAAGAGAATAGGATAGATTTGACTCAAATCATTTGAGAGAAGAGAGACAAACAATAAGGAGAGGGGGCAGCTAAAAAAGCATAGAGCTTAAGCAAAGGAGTATGGAGCAAGGGCTTAACAACTAATAAGTAACAATCATGAAGCTGAGCATGAAAAAAAAATGAGGAGAGATGAGGGGGAGATACATAGAGCAAAGGGAGGGGGGAGATGCAGAGAGCCAGAGAGCAAAAGGAGGAGGGGTGGGTGGATGTAGGTTAAGGGTTAGAAAAATTTCTTTTTATACTTGCTTTTTTTAAGTGGTGGCCTGGTTGAATCGGTTCGATTTGGTTCAATTGGTTTCAAACTTTGAAAATCAAAATCGAACCGAACCAGAACTTTTTTATGATTTTTTAATCGGTTAATTTGATTTTTTTAAATTTTTTTTTTAATCGGTTAATTTGATTTTTTTAAATTTGATTTTTTTTTATTTTTTTCGGTTTAATCAATTTATTGATTTTTTTGCGTACCCTTAATTTCTTCTCGTTCACCTCCTTCCAGCAACTGATTCTTTCACTTGTTATAACAACAACATCCACATCGAAACCAGCGCCGACGCTACCTAGCAACTAGATCTGTCACCTAAAGAAGAAGAAAAGAAAGATATAATCATAAGGAAGAAAGAATCAAATCTAAAAAAATAGAAATAAAATTAAAATCAACTATTTTATGTGCCTTTCCTTTTTCAGGTGACGATGAGTCATTATAGGCAGAGGAGATCTGAAAGAGAGAGAAAGTTGAACCTTAAAGCGGCCATATCTCTTTCCTCGAGCAATGGTGGGTGTCACCACTAGTGTGGGAGTGAAAAGGATACCGCGGGGTTTCATATCTAGGAACCCATACGCTACTTCAGTAGCAGTGGAACGTGAATCCATAAGCCAATAGAGGTGGTGGCCTATGATACACATGCCGCCACTACTCCCTCGTGTCTAGCGCATCCATACAACTTTTGACTTTTTCTTAATCTTGTTGGGAAGATGTTTGCAAATTTTGGTTGATTTTGTGTGTTTTGATTATATATATTATGCATAAGTGTAAGTGTGTGAGAGTGAATTAGTACAATATGTATGTCGTATTGTTTTTTTTTTTTTGCATTTGTTAAAACAAATAATATAAAAAATATAAATCTCATAATTTTTTTTTTAAAAGATTGCATATGGCTAAGGGAAAAAAACATCTCTTTACATAATTTAGCATAAAAATTACCATGACTAGAATTAAAAAAAAACAAAAAAATAAATTATATTGTGTTTTTAGCATAAAAAATGTTTTTTTCTTGAACTTGATAACAAGTTTATCAAGTTTATTAAAAGCTTGGCCCGGATATAATGACCCATTGAATCTACATATAAAATATCAAAAACTCATTTATTTAATAGGGCCCAAAGCCCACTTCTCTTATTCTTGTAGATCAAATAACCATGGTAAAAATTCAATCTAAAAGTGTTTGAGGCAAGTGAATTCACTATGAGTATCAATCCTGGTATTCATGGACGTCAAAGTTAGAAATATCAACTCTAATATTTGTTGATATTAGAATAAAAAATATCAACCTCAATATTTACTTACGTTAAAGTCAGAAATATCATGTTTTTTTCGAGTAATATTTATTAATGCCAGAATTAAAAGTATTTATAGTTGAATATTTACTCGTATCAAAGTCAAGAATATTATAGGCAGACTATCAAATGCTTAATACAACAAATCCTTAGTAATTTAAGACAAAACTAGCAATGTAACTTATCTTAAATACAATGTTTAAAGAGTGATGATATCTTTTTTTTTTGCGTAATTAGTCTCGTATTATAGAATTTCTATTGACCTGTTAGGATTCATAATAATTATAATACTAAGTGATGACTTCTTAAACCAGATATTTTTTTTTTAAAAACAAAATACTAAATATCTATTTTTTTTTAATTTTAAAAGTTATTGTGATGTCAAGTGTGATAAACTTGATTTGAAATTAAATTTATTTCAAGTTAAATTGTATAATAATTAAATCTAACTTTGTAATTTGTTAACTTATTTATAACTTAAATTAAATTAATTAAGAGTTAATTTGATACAATAAAGTCAACTTAATAAATCAACTCGTGATTTAAAGTCCGGTTTATTTTATTTTTAATGGTAATAATAAATAAAGAAACGCAAACTCCAAAGTTTTCAGGTATAAACATGGTACTTCACGTAACAAACGAACTGCCGGTAACTTAACTCATGACAAATGCAAAAAGGCAGCGCCTAAACGTCGTCTCACACACTCAAAACTAACTATTGGTGGTGCAAACGACATGTCCCTCGATTTTGTGGGTGGGTTAATTAAAGTAACCCCAGCATTGCACCAGTCCCCTCCATTGCCCTTAATTTTCTTCCTCTTTCACTGTTTCAGATCGAACTTCGCTAAGGTTCCAACTCTAGATCTGCTTCACTCTCTCTTTTTGATATTTTAATTTTCTTTTTTAAGACACTAATCCTAATTGTGTTATGATTCGTTTTTCTGCTGACAGGAAAATGGATCCTGATGCAGTTAAATCAACATTGTCAAATTTGGCATTTGGCAATGTAATAGCAGCAGCTGCTCGTGATTATAAGAAGGTTTGGTCTTTAAAGTTGTCTTCTTTTTTTCTTTTCTCAAATGGGTTTTTGTCGAAACCGTCGCATATGTCTTTGCTTACTGTTGGGTCTTTGTTTATTTGAAGGAATTTCATGTAAAGCTTGCTTCTTTTTTTTGGATTTCTTTCAACTTTAAGCTTTCAATGAAGGAAACCCACTTTGCATCCCTTAATGTTTTGTGGTTTATCAGGTTTGTTGTGTGGATTTGAAATTAATTGGAGAAGAAATTTATTGCATTATGAGAATGTTGATAGAATAAAGAGGGAAGCTTTCTTGCTTCTGCCTCATAGAAAAGATTGAATTTTGGGCAAATTGATGCCTAGATAGTGTATTGGTGATTAAAGTGGAAATTTTGAAGAACTTTTGCCAAATTGAAAAGTGATTGTAGAAATCCAGGTTTCGTGTGTGTACGTGCCCATTGGGAGATCAGTTTAATGGATCAATAGTAATTAGAGGCAAATATATGGTCCAATGATAGTTAACAGTTTGCTACAGAGATAGGGATGCATTTCAGGTTGTGTGCGAGTACATACCTTTTTTTGTACTCCTATTGCTTTTGTTGTGCTTGTTGAATTGCTAAAATATATTATGGTGCTCTCAGAGTTCTTAACTAGAAGGCTTTTGCTTCCAACAATTATAAAATACTGATTTTGATTGAAGAAATGGGAGGTCAAACTTAATTCCTGGCTGTACATATTAGCCTTTTCCATTCATGGTTGGTAAAGATAAATGTGATTGAATTGATCTGACGGACTGAATTCTCAAATAAAAATGTGGCGTTGAATTGGTTATCTTTGAAGCTTTTGCTTCCAACAATTATAAAATACTGATTTTGATTGAAGAAATGGGAGGTCAAACTTAATTCCTGGCTGTACATATTAGCCTTTTCCATTCATGGTTGGTAAAGATAAATGTGATTGAATTGATCTGACGCACTGAATTCTCAAATAACAATGTGGCGTTCAATTGGCTATATTTGATTGTTTCTTACGGTTATTATTGACATTACATGCTTATGTTACAGGAAATTATTGCTCAAGAGAAGTTAAAGTCGTCAAGTTCTTTCAATGAAGAAGTTGATCTTGATGAGTTGATGGATGTAAGTTTGATGTTTCATTAATATTGGTGCCTGCATTTTCCATGATCTCATTTATTGAAAGTTGCTTGCATTTGTTCTGTAGGATCCAGAGCTGGAAAAATTGCATGCAGACAGGATTGCAGCTCTCAAGGTAACAAGTTCATATTCCTTATTTTACCACATGTATGTTTAGAAATGATTAAGCTTTCTGAAACTGCTAAAATTCACCATAGGATTTGTTTGAATAGAAAGAAGCTGAAAAACGAGAAGCCCTACAGAGGAAAGGCCACGGGGAATACAGGGAGATAAGCGAGGGGGATTTCCTGGGTGAAGTCACTGGGACTGAGAAAGCAATTTGCCATTTCTACCATAAGGAGTTCTATCGATGCAAGTATGGCACTTAAATCCTCTCTTGCACACACACGCACACACACACATGCACGCGTGCACTTGCTACTGGAATTGACACATTCTATGTGCTTTATGATCTATGATGTGTGATCATGTTAATCAACTACCCTAGGATAATGGATAAGCATTTGAAGTCTCTTGCACCAAGGCATGTTGATACCAAATTCATCAAGCTGGATGCAGAGGTCAGTACTTGAATTTTTGTTGTTTGCTTAGGCAGCTAAATTGAAATCACAGTTTTGTTTATTGCAAATGTCTGTTCTAGTGTGTAAAATGAGTTGACGTACATTGTACTTATTTCCAAATCAAATGCAGAATGCACCCTTCTTTGTTGCCAAACTTGGAGTGAAAACATTGCCTTGTGTCATACTTTTCAGGTGAGACCAAATTTGTTGAATTTTGTTTTATTTATGCTCATCTTGAACAATACTTTCCTTGAAGTCGAGAGAAGAACATAGACATTGCATTTTGGCTTTGCTTTCATGATTCTATTTACTTGTAAACTAAGTGGTAATGGCAGACATGTAGTTGGGGGGAGAATGATGTCAACCAATCAACACTAATGATTACTGAATGATTCGCCAAAGCGTGCTATTGTTATGCTTCAAGCTATACATATCCATCTTCACCTCTGCGACCTTAATATTTGAGTTTTGCATCAGATATTGAAATGCAGAAGTTACATTTTTTGTTTATCAAGTATTATACTAAGATATGTACTGTTCACTTTTTCAGTAAAGGGATTGCAATAGATAGACTGGTTGGCTTTCAAGATGTAGGAGGAAAAGATGATTTTGCCACTAGGACTCTTGAGAATATACTGATAAAAAAAGGTAACTGTCCAACTTGCTGTGCATTTGATAGCTCCCGGCCAAGTCTCTAAACCATTGTCTCACAGGTATAATTAGTGAGAAGAAAGATAACGAAGATGATGAAGATGATGATTACCATGAAAACAGTCAAAGGACAGTAAGATCATCTACCAATCCTGATTCAGATTCAGATTAAAAAACCGGAAACTGCAACTTTGGGCTTCAGTTACCTGTTTCTTTTGAAATTCGGGCATTTACTATTATTCTTGCTTGTTATTTCTATCCATTATATCTGTAGTTTCATTCTCCTCATTGGAAATTACTCAGGAACATTTTTTATCCTCTGAGAACTGAAATTGCTATCTGATCCTGATGCGAAATGTGGAGTTAAATGAATAGCACTTTTGTTGCAACAGCTCCGTGTTTCAAACATACATCTAGTGGCAAGTGATATCCAGTAGCAAGTGATACTAGCCTGTTTTTAAAAACCTGACTTATTGAACTCACTGAAGACATTTGATCTTCTGGTTTAGAGATTTCATCATAAAGTTAAGAGATAATTATACTTTCTTGCACAACAAACTTAAACCGGTGTAAAAATTTTCCAGCTGATAGTTACAGTTCTGCATGGCAGCTTGGTGGAAATGTGACTAACCAATTGATGAGCATGACAGCTGCTCCTCAAGGACTGGTGGTATTCCTATTAATATTCTGCAGTTTTCAAGTCGTCATTGAAATGTAAAAGCATTAAAGATGAAGATGAATCTCAGATGTCAAAAGGATTTTTAGCTCTAATCGTAATATGGGTTAACTCAAATCATTCTGTCCTAAAGTTTTCGCCTGAGTGCTTCTTTAACATCATTTTGATTTATCTGGTATTCCCTGTAATATTAGTGGTGTTTGGCTTGCGTTCTAATTATATTTTTGAAGAGTTTTGAATATTTTTTCTCAATTTTAAATTAATTTTATGTGTTTTTGAATATCAAAATTAAATTTTAAAAAATAAAAAAAATATTTTCATAAAAAATAAATTAAAAAACAACTCTTCACCAACAATCACTGTTACAGCTTTTATATCGAACGGCAAAGGATGCCTCGAAGTTTCCCTAGTTGTTATAAGGGAGATCATCGTTACCCAGAACATAGCAAGGCCAAATTGTGATTCAGAGAAATTTGACATGAAACATCTCGCCATTAACATTAGGGTAAATTTCGCTGATCCAAGGACTAGAAATAGGATTAACTCAGGAGTTTGTTTATTGCCACGTAGCATAGAGACAAGTGTCGCTTAAGCTGTCTGTCCGGAAGTAGAACAACGGTTTTTTAAGGGAAATGTGACAGATAGATTGCTGTCTGGAAATAATTTTCAAATTTTCTGTCAAGGAAACAAAGTGGTGGCCTTCCACTCTCCCCCCCCGGTAATCTCTCTGTCTTAGCAAAGTACAGCTAGCTTAAAAAAACAACCCACTCACTATCTATGGCTTATGAGAATTGGTCAAGAATAACAACATTAACAAACAACAAGAAGAAGAAGAAGATCAGCATTTATCATTAAAAATAAACATAAGAAAAAAATTGCCGATATACTTGTCTACCCTTCCCGCGTCGTGTGCGCCTCACTGTCCCTCCCCGCAAAAATCTCCACAAATTATTTGTTTTTTCTTTCTATTTGTAGCCCTTCCTCACATTTTCACTCACCCTTTGCGGAGGTGCCCTCTTGCTCGCTCTCTTTCTTTCAATCTTCATTTTTTTCGTTTTGTTGAAGGAAGAAAATTGCTTGCTTGCTTGTTTTGTGTTTGTGTTTTTGTAATTTGTTTCTCTTTTTGGTGTTATGTTATAAGTGGTGTTATAATGGTGAAATGCAGGCATTTGGCTAAGGCTTCTGGTTGGTTGTGGCATCGTTTTTTATGTAAAAAGCACATTTCTCACACCAATGGCAACAGCAGTTTGTGTACCTTTGTCTCCCAACCCAGGTTAGCTACCTAATTCAATCTTACATTTCAATGTGTTTTTATCAACTAGTCACATTGAAGAAGGCTATCATTTATTCATCAAGGTCACTTGTCTAATTTAACAACTTCTGTTTCTTGTACATTTAGTAGTGTTAGTCATCATGTATTTTCTGACTGAGCAAATTCCTTTATGTTTTGATTTTGATTTTATATCTCATCTTCTAGGATATATGGCTAAGGTGGATATTTTGTACGAGTTTAGGCCAATTTTATGCTTTCATATTCTGGTGCGTCTTGTTAATCTTTAGTCGTGCTTGCTCTGTGTTTGCAGTACCAGAGATGGAACATTCTGGGGACGAGAGGAAGAAAAGAATTGAATCACTGAAAAAGAAGGCAATTAGTGCCTCCAACAAATTCAGGCATTCATTGACAAGAAAGGGTCGCAGAAGCAGCAAAGTCATGTCCGTTGAAATTGAGGATGTGCACGATATAGAGGAGCTAAAGGTTGTCGATGCTTTCCGTCAAGTGCTTATTTTGGAGGAATTGCTTCCTTCAAAGCATGATGATTATCATATGATGCTCAGGTTTATTATTCTTCTGGTTTCATGCTCAATGGTTTGATTGAATTTGTTATTCCAGATTTGATTCTCATCCATTTTGAAATACATAAATAATCTTTATGTATACTTTATTAATCTTTAGATTTATCCTCTGATAATGTAGATTCTTGAAGGCCAGGAAATTCGATATCGAGAAAACAAAGCAAATGTGGTCTGATATGCTTCAGTGGAGGAAGGAATTTGGTGCTGACACAGTCTTGGAGGTATTGATCATAGAAATGGCTTTATTAAAAGATCTTTTATAATCTTAATTTAGTCCATAATCCACCTGGACAACCCCACTGGGCATTGGCTGAGTCTCATGGGGTTCTTTTCCTGCTATTTTCCTGTTTTTCAGGAGTTCGAATTCCAGGAACTCAGTGAAGTCTTGGAACATTATCCCCAAGGGCATCATGGAGTAGATAAAGAAGGAAGACCTGTGTACATTGAGTCATTAGGCAAAGCAGATCCTGCCAAGCTAATGCAAGTCACAAACATGGACCGCTATGTCAAATACCATGTACGAGAGTTTGAGAGAACTTTTGATGCCAAGTTTCCAGCTTGTTCACTAGCAGCAAAGAGGCACATTGATCAAAGTACAACCATCTTGGATGTGCAAGGAGTGGTATGTTTGAACCATAATGATTGATGTGGGTAAATAAAACAATTTTCATCATGTGTATTAATGTGATTTTAGATTTTGATTATCATGAATCCTTCATGTGGCTTTCAAAGGTTCAGCAGAGTCAGTAGAAGGGATAGTAGTGGGGTTCTAGACGAATGTTAGGGTGACCTTCAAACATGTGTTCCTTTCCTTTCCCTTATTCTATAGACCATAATACAAATTATAATTACCTCAGAAGTTGTTATTCACTCTCAGAATTAATAATTACAGGGCCTCAAAAGCTTAACTAAAGCTGCAAGGGATCTCATCTCTCGCCTTCAGAAGATTGATGGTGACAATTATCCTGAGGTACGAACCTGTGTGTTTTGTCTTAGATTCGCAAAAACAATAACTTTTCCTTGCAAATGATATAACAATTGTGATTTGGTGTGAATTGTTGGCTTCTCGGCAGACCTTGAACCGCATGTTCATCATCAATGCGGGATCTGGATTCAGGATGCTGTGGAATACCATTAAATCTTTCCTTGACCCTAAGACCACAGCAAAGATCCATGTAAGTGTACACATTTCAATTCTGAATTGCTAGTTTGATGTAGGAAATTATCTAATTACAATATATCATTCACCAGGTTCTTGGCAATAAGTATCAGAGCAAATTGCTTGAGATAATTGATGCCAGGTAAGTTCATAAATGGTTGTTTACGCAACCATCTTTCTCGTCTCAGTTTCTAGTCTTCACAATTGTATTCACTCTTTTCTCCACGTTATACGCTGTGTAATCACCTATCCCCGTATGCTTATTTTCTGTTCACAAATCATGTGGCCTTTTTTCCTAGCCTCTTTTAATTTCCTTTCTCCCTTTTGATCGCAACGGATATCAGTGAGTTGCCAGAGTTTCTTGGAGGTACTTGCACCTGTGCTGACAAAGGAGGCTGTATGCGTTCTGATAAAGGCCCTTGGAATGACCCAGAGATTATGAAGGTGATCTGCAATTCTTAGAGCAACTTCTTCTGCTTGCTACAGTTGAACTGACCATCCTATCTAGTTTCTTTTAGAATTCGATTTCTTATTTGATTCAGTGACTTGCAGATGGTTCAAGATGGCCATCACAAATGTGCAAAGAAATGCGGAACTCATTATCCTGATGAAAAAACAATCTGTGAGGACGACCTAAGCAACTCAAAGGTTTAATATTGAATATTCACTTCTCATTCTATTTCCCCTTTTGGCATATCTGGCCTGCCAAATTAATTCTTTGCTCCAAGTTGTTTGCTTTCTTCATGGCGTGAGTTTTGAGCTACTCTTACTTCCTATTCGATTGACAGCTGCATGAGGCTCCTAAGGTGGAGACAGCTCCACAGCTTCCACAACCCTCCTTTGTTCCTGAGAAGGTACATGTCTAACAAACTTTCTCTGATTTTATGTTTGTCATTGCGGCATAACTCTGTTTTTAATTTTATTTTCTTTGTTTATCTTTAAATTTTTTATAGTTTTTTTTTTTTAATAATTCAATGTCAAAAATAAAATAAAAAATATTATTTTAATATATTTTCAAATAAAAATACTTTAAAAAATAACATCTAGTACACTTTTAAACCTGCTCTAAATCCATTACTAATTCTAAAGAGGTTTGAATTTCTTATTAGGTCATATAGGCTTTACAAAACAGGGTTTTATTTTTTTTTAAAAAAAAAACTATCATATTTGTAGAGGAAATTTGACAAGCTAGAGAACTCTAAAAAATAATTAGAAAAATAGCAAAGTCTTGAGATTGCATTCCATACTAAGAATAAAGATTTTAAAGGGTTGTGTTAGCACTCGTGCCACCCTTAAAACTAAATAATTAGAGGGTTGTGCTATTGGGAAAAGCGCAACTTAACCCCTCCATAGATGCATGTTATTTTCGTAATTATATTTTTATAGTGAGTTACTTTGTCAAAAAAAAAAATTGACAATTAATGTGCTAGTTTTTTATTTTCTTTATTCCCCTTTGCCTGAGAGTCAAATGCCTTATCCTTTTTCCTTTGACCTTTTTACTGGGAAATTCAACCTGCAGGCTTACAAGCTAGAGGAATATCAGCTTGTGGTTGATAAATCTGTCGACATGAGCTGGAAAAAAGTGGTAAACAATGGTAAGCTTGCTCTTTCCTATGGCACATTACTTGTTAATATGATTAAATTAAGTATATCATTGTGATTTCTCACTGGATTTTAATTGAACCTACTACAAATAGTATGAAAAATAAAAAAATAACCATTTAGATGGTAATTAAATAGTAAGAACTTTAAGATCAAGGAGTTTCTTTTATCTATGATCTTATATTCAAGTTCTTAGTTGTTTATATGATGACCACTAAAGACTTATATAGTTATTAATTTTAAGGCCCGTGAGATTAGTTGTGATGCGGGTAAACTGGCTCGGACACCTACATTAATAAAAAAAAATAAAAAAATGAATTATTATTTTGGACACCCACATTAATAAAAATAAATAAAAAAATGAATTATTATTATTTTTATTGTAATTATAATATATGATACTCAGCTCAAAGCCTAGATGAAGAGTTGGCATGAGTTGGGTTCAGGTTAGAGTTTGTATAAGTTGGAGAGTGTCCGAGTTGACCAAGGATAACTCAACCTTTGACTTTTCTTTTCATTAAAAAATACCCAAAAATGCAGGTGTTGTAATGTAAAGATCAGACGGGTCACATTGACATGCCGTGATAGGCCACCTACTTGGACGGTATCTTATAATTAGGTTTTTTTACTATATTTTTATAAAATCTTACCATTTAATTTAATCGTTGGAAAAAAGAAGAAGCACATAAATGTTTTTCTTCAACGACAATGCTTGTATAATATTGTGATTTAGCATATTATTTAGATTTAAGATGTCATCTTTAATTTTTGGATTTTTTTGCAATCTTTTAGCTTCTTTTTTTTCCAAATAATATCTTGAATATTTTCGCAAAATGATCATGTCATAGTTTTTGAAATTGATCCAATTTTTTTTAATTGTGATATGAGAATTTTTTATTTCCGTGTTGATGATTTAATGTCTTTTTATAATGGTTTTTTGTTTTCGATATTTTATAGCATTGATTTTGTACAAAGTTTTTTTGAAATTGATTTTAGATTTATTGTTTTATATTTTGTGTGGTTTTCCTTCATGAATATATTTATCTTTTATATATATATATATCAAAGATAATATTAGTTTCTCCTGAAAAGCACTGTTTTCCTTGTTAAGAAATCATGAGATGCAGATTATTCCAAGTTTTAATCATCATTATGCTGGTGACAAAACGATATGAGAAATTTGGCTTGCGTGAGCGAAATTCAGGGCATATATATATATCCAGCTATGTTCAAGATGTTGATCAAAGTTCCTATAATTTTCAAAAGCAGATTGCTATACTCAGTATGATGCTTGCAAGGCTCCCCAGGCAATCAACTCACCACTCTTCACTGGTGTCATGGCTTTGGTTACGGGCATTGTCACCATGATTAAAGTGACACGCAATGTTCCCAGGAAGCTGACCGATGCCACCATCTACTCCAATCCTGACTACTGCGATGACACATCGGTGAAGGGCCGGGAACAACAGTCACCTGCCATCTCTAGTGCAGATTACATGACTGTCTTGAAGCGCATGGCTGAATTGGAAGATAAAGTGAGTGTTTTGAGTTCTAAGCCTGTTTCCATGCCACCCGAAAAGGAGGAAATGTTGAATGCTGCTATAAGCCGTGTTGAGGCCTTGGAGCAAGAGCTTATGGCAACCAAGAAGGTATTTCAACATGGAAATGAATGCGTGGTAGTTAATACAGAGTTAATAAAAACATAAACTATAAATTAGAATTCTCTCATTTGTATCAATTACTCCTTGCTTATTCAGGCTCTCGAGGACTCACTTGCTCAACAAGCGGAGCTTGTCGCTTATCTTGAGAAGAAGAAGAAGAAGAAGAAGAAGAAGATGGTACAGTACTAATACACATCATAAGTTTGCTCAGCTTTGGAATTTTAATGGCTATATCATGTTTAATATTGTTTGGCCTGTGATGCAGTTGTTCTGGTAAAGGAAGAGAAGCTGGATGCTGAAAGCTGCTTAAAGAACTGCTGTTGTGATTTTCTGTTTTGAAGAATACTCCATTGCGTGCTCTCTTGTTCAAATTCGTGTATATAGCAATTAAAGGTTTTGTGAAGATCCAATTTGCGTTTCTAACACTGATGTATCGTCAATAAATCCTGGTGTCTTACAACTCTATATAATATATATATTGTAAAAACATCTGAACACCTACTACTTGTCTACTGAGAGTGATCAAAGGGAGAATAATATCCCTCAGTTTATACTGTACAAGTACTCTTAAATATCCTTTATGCATTTACCCTGCTATGAAGGGCAGTCTCGTGACTCAAAAGTTAGGCAAGCATGACCTCTGAGACCCGAGAAGTTTGGTATCAGTTCCTTGAAGAATGACTTCAGATGTTCATAGATTCATCTGTCCTTAACTCACAGACAATATGAAACCAAGGCAGGCTTCCAAATAATCCCTTTCGCCTTGTTAATCTGTGGTTGTGGCCAACAGAAAAAAATGTCTACTGATTGGCAGTTATCCTGCACTAGTGAAGAAACTACTTTCTACAATTTGATGTGATGTGAATTTACGAGGTACAAACTGATAAAAGAAAGACTTGTTTATTCCAAGAATCAATTGTTGCATTACTAAAACTAAACATTTCACATAGAAAACCTATCTTTATTACAGCATTGAGCTCATCATGAAGTCTTCGAACTTCTTTCTCATATGCTATGCTTGAGCTCATCATGAAGTCTTCGAACTTCTTTCTCATATGCTATCCTCAATTCTTTCCTTGCGGATCTTCAGATGTCGCCATTGCATGTGTTGAAGAATGATACACAAGATAGAGGCACAAGGCATAACCCTCTACTTCTGAGATCTCTCTTTTGTTGTCCCTTCCCATCTTCTTCATTTGAGCTCTGTTAACAATACATTGATGATCACATTAAAGAAATTAACAGAATGAAAACAAGTACAACGGTTCTCAAACTTCCCTTGGAAACAAAGTGTGTGTGTGTGTATTTAGGGTACAACGGATGATCTAATGAGATACTTGTAACTATGAGGAAACTTCCCTAGAAGAATTTCTTACCACTTGCGTTGTTCTAGCTGGCTTGATGTTTGATGACTTCATATACGGCACGCTCAGTGTCTGTCAGTAGCAAGGACTAAATAAAGTTAGTAAGAACAACAAAATCCACCAGTTTATCAAATTAAGAGTGAAGTATGTTAGTTTGATAGTATTACTGTGGACAGAAAAATGGAGAGGGATACATCACCTGCACTTGGTCATGAAGAAATTGTATATATCCAATTGCTTCTGTCAACACAGAGGCAGTGTCTGTCTGCAAGTTACAACGGACAAAAAACTAAAAATATAAGCATGGTCAAATTAATATTTTAATGCATTTCTTTAAGACATTCCTAATCAGGAGAATAATGTACAGATTTAATTATCACCTTGCCATAAGGTGCCACCAACCTCTGAAGAGCTGCAATCCTGTCCCCTAGTTTCTCCTTCCTGACCTAGTTAAGAACCCAACTCCACATTTAAACAAGAATCTATGGTATAAATTCTGACTTAATGAAGATTAAACTAATACTGCTTTAAACCATCACCTTCAATGGGGGGCACAAGGATCGTGGTGTGGACCTGTTCTTCTTGGCTTCTGTGAGAAAGTTCTTGGACTGAAAATTACTGCTAGGCCTCTTTTTTCTCCCAAATCCATCTTCAATGGTTGATGTCTTCAAAATCAAAAGGCGCACTTTCAGTTTACAGCTTTATAAATGAGGTGTTCATCATCAGAAATGCAATCGATCCAAGGTGTATAAATAGAGGCACAATTAGAATAACTACACTGGAATTAATAAGATTAAGAAACCCACTTTGTGGCAGCTTTTTGAAGGGCTATCTTTATGTGCTCGCGTGAAATGATCGAGAGTGTTTTCTGAAGACTGGCTAAAACTTGCGGCACCATCATAAGTACTAGTTGATAATAGATCCACAGCTTGTAAGTTCAAGTCCAAAGAACTTGAAACTAATGAAGAACACAAATCTGATGTTGAAATACTGATACTTGGTAAAATATGGCTAAAATTATATCTGTTACAACCAGAAAGATTCTGCAGACTTGCCATTTTTTGAGCATTGGAGTCTGAAATATGGTGAAGAGAAGATGAGCTGTTGAGAGGCCATTGATTTTCACCTAGATCATGAGAATATTGGTGCTTGTATTTAGATGACAAAAAATAAGACCCCTCGACATTAGAGCCAGTGTGCATCATTTCACCTGGCTTGAAGAAAGGATCTGCCAACTCTTCTTTGGTCTTTGCCAATAGAAATTCATTGGCCGTAAATGGTTGGTTGAAACCACTTGCATGGCCGAAACTCAACCCTGGAGTCAAGGAAGCAGGTGGCCAAGACACCCTTGAATTTGGGATGCAATCAGTTTGATAGTTGTTGTTGGTATTACTGTTAATATTCCTGCATGATCATAAATAAGAGAAACAAATGATCATGATACGAAATTTTTTAGTAACATCCACTAACATCCTAGGTTCTGACTGCTTGCGTGCTCACAGACCCTAGAAAAATAACTATAATATTAGAGAGAACGCCTTTCGAAGATTAAGTACATGAACCATTTGCCAAATAAAGTTAAGCTTGCCTAAATTACAGTGAAATAATAAAGAACTTCTTCCTTTTCCAGTCCCTATTCCAGCAAAAGCTGCAGCGTGGAACCTAGGAGAAAGCGTTAAGTTTATAGAGGAAGTAGCCATGCTTTAAAAAATGAATCCATCAGTAGCGCTGCTATATATACAGTGCACTTAAATCCATGAACATGTATAAGCTTATATACCCGTGTTTCGTAGAGCTTCAAACCAGAAAAAACAAAGTAGAATTCTACTAAGAGAGGAGAAATACTTACAAAATGAATCCTGTTCCTGGGTTCAAGTCACCGTTGCTGGAAACCTTATTGTAATCAGCAGATTGTGATAATAAAGAAGAATAATAACCTGTCAACTGTTCTTGAAACTGATGCTGGAGGTGGCGATTTCCAGGTTCCATCATATAATTTTTTAGACTTGATCCCTGCATAAGCCTAAGAAATTAACTGGGATGTTATCAGAACCTTTCACTCTCTACTGAAAGAATCACCCACAGGAACCTCTTTGCTTGCCTTTAGCGCGTTACTTTCCTCACTTATATTCTCTCTTTTCACCTCCTTGTCTCAGCTTTAAAGTAGCATGCATAAAAAGAAAGCAAGATCAAAAACCATGTCCGTCTTCCCTCTCCCAGTGTGCCTAGCTTGATCATTACCTTAAAGAAGAAACTTTTTTACAGATTCACTTTGCTCTAAAACTGTGTTTGGATGGATATTTTTGCACTCTCTGGATATATATCACTCATGAAAGATGGAACCATTGCTAGCTTGACCATATAATCGAGCCCTTGTTTTGCCTTAAGGCAAGCAAAGGTCCTAAAGGTAGAGGGAAATGATGGCAAACTTGAAACTTGAAATATTTGAACACTTGTGTAATACCAAAAAGGCAAAATGGTGTATATATAACCTAGGGAAAAACGACTTAACTAAGATTCTATAGGTTTAGCTAGTGCATGGTCTTTTGATAATTAACCTTCGTGTTAACCTAATCAATCTTTTCTTGTGTATTATGAAAGGGAACATTTATATTTATATAAAAGTTGATGAGTATGAAACCCTAATGTTCACTAATTTTATACACTAATCATGTAGGGGGGGAGATAATTAAAGTTATAGTGCTGCTAAATATAATAATGTTTTTTAATTAACAAATAATAAGAGGCCCTTCATCAAAAAGAGAAGGTAATACAATAATCCAAGAGCATGAGAAAAGCGAGGCTCAGGGAAAAGGTGACGGGGAATTTGTAAGATTTACAGTATGGGCAAGTTTGTCGCTGCCTTCCCTTCATTTCCAACACTCTTCCAGCCTGCTCCTGTCCAACCTTTTTATTCTATTTCTTTCGATCTAGTCCTCATATGTTCAAGTACAAGTTGGTGTCCAAAGGTTCGCCTTCTTTTCTTTTCTTTTCTTTTCTTTGAAATAATTAATTTGGATGAGCCTTGAACATGATTTATGTATTAGCGGCACTAGTTCTAGGTAAAGGGTTTATTCGGGTTCAAATTCCACTGCTTTCCGACCTAACCGAGAAGGGAAACCCTTGCAAAGAAAAAACCCTAAAGGGAATGATCATTTGAATCAACACATGGATTCTTTTTGTAAAGAAATAGCATAAAAATGACATTATGCAAATTCCTTCCCAATAATTGCAAGCCCATTGGGATTCCAAGATGCCTATAGTACGCTCTAAGTCAGCTGGAATTTTAAAATCTAATTGAGAGAACCTAGTCTGTCTAATCCACTTTCATACATAGGCAGGCACCCAATTGGAATCCACGTTGGATGCATTATGCTTTGACATTATACGAAAAAAAAGGTTCTTACACACACATAAACATACCAATTCTATGAAGGAGAAAGGAAAATGGGGGAACATCAAATTATTCTGCCATGATCTCCTAATCCTTTTTCAGCTATTGCCAGTCAACCATTCCCAAGAATTTGTTTCAACATTAGCACCATGTTGCTATCACTTCTGCTTAATTGCCTCACCTCAGAGGGAAGGATTACTCTCACTCGACTACACATATATGAGTGTATGATTTTTGACAAGCCTTCTCCTCTAGCTTGTCGATCGCTATATATGCATGGGTTTCTGTATCCACATGAATGCATGTCCATAGCATTTTTCAGCTAAATATTAAAATTAATTTTAGATTTCTATCTAACCAATAACTTCAAAGAGAATAAAGCATGTGATTTTGCTCAACTCCTCACAAGTGAAAAGAAGCATATAATATATTATTGTAAAATATTAGCTGATTTAACCTTGCAAGCAAAAATAAAAGTTAAACCAGCAAGTAACACACCGTGTAGAAGCAAAGGCCTGTAAAGGGGGTCTAAAAAAAGTCGATAGGGTTAAAGATGTTTGAGGAGAAGACAAGGCATTGGAGCCAAAGAATATATGCTTCCCTTTTTCTTCTTGTTTTTTTTAGGGAAATTAAATCGTGTATTGTGGACCATGATCTTTCTGTTTCCCATGCCAAATACCATTCTTTATGTTTCTTTGTTATCTTCCATTAGATTTCATCAGTCTTTACACAAAAGCATACCCTCGCTTTGTCTGGCTTTTTAGTTCACAATAATTGGTGGTTCTGCGCTCCAAACATTGCCCATACAATACCATACAAGCTTGTAGCTTGCATTTCATAGTATTTGGTAATATTATTCACATATAGATCTATATCAACAGCATGCATAGCTTAGCTAGCACCAGGTGTAGTAGGGTTTTGACATCTTGGTGCAGTGTAATTAATATTATATATATAGGTAGTAGCTAGCAAGTAATTCTGAACCTCCTCCACCATCTGCATCACAAAATCAAACCAATCCCTGAGCTACCGGTACCGTACAAATCATCAAATAAGACAAGTCTACTAGCAAGGATTCATTATCCAAAGCCACCTCCTTCATAATATGTAATTGTGCCTAGTGAAACAAGCTATAAATTCTTCATAATCCCTGCTGTTGTAGTCACTATAAATTCTTCATAATCCCTGCTGTTGGATATAAATAGGTTGATGAAGTTATCTCTGATATGATAATTTATATTTGTGAAATAATTATGATATTAATTAAGTTAAAAACTTGTTTAAATATCCTAAAGAAAAGAGATTTTGGCTTGCAACATCAACCTTTATTTTGTATGTTCATCAACTTTCTTTGATATTTAAAAAAATAAAGAAAGAAATATGGGAGTGGATATGTGTAGATGAAAACGTGTTGGTTAAGTGTAGAAAAAAGCTTACATATTTTTTATATATATTGAAAGGAAATCAGAAAGAAAATAAAATTAAGGGTAATTTTGTTTTACTAATGGTTTCGAATAATGAAGCATTACTGTATGATATAATATTTAAAATGGTTACACCCTTACCGTAAAGTGGCTGGGGGGTGGAGGGGGGGGTGAGC